TTTTTAATTTTTTATTATAGGAAATTTTAATGTATATTAATATTTCATAAAAATATTGATCAACATTGTACCCGGCAAGCAAAAAATATTGAGCCATGATTTACTATTAAATTAACACGTGATTCCCCCTACTCTTAATACAAATAAATATAGAATATAATAATAATAAAAATAAATAATAGATAAAATAAATAGCTAAAAATAAATAATAGATAACAATAAGAGATAAATATAAATAAATAATATAATTAATACAAAATAATATAGAAAATATTACTCCGGATTTTCGGGGTCGTTGATCAGCGAATTAAGGTCAAATTCGCATTTCGGTGACAATATCAAGATTTATGTTTCCTAAAAGAAATGGTCCAATTGATTCATCTGTGAAAAAGTGTTGGAAGATAACCAATAAACTGATCAGAGAGTAAGGCGATTTTGGATTGTTCTGCTTACTTTTCTTAATTTATTATTTTTCTTTCTTCTTGGTAAATTTCATAGATGATCCTTTCTTTTCTTAGATAAGCTTCTAATGTTTGAGTATAATTTATTTTGAAAATATAAGGAGCAATTTTTTCACCTTGTTCTTTCTTCAGAATACTTCTAATGTTTTTGGGTTCCATAGTAGATCTGATGTAAATTAACTTCATATTAACTATTTTTATTATTATATAGAGGTAATTCTATATATCACCTAATATTAAGAGGGTAACAAATGGAAGATTTTAATAATCATGTTACTAAATTTTGACCCTGAAATATTTGGTAATATCAATGTTCACTTTATCTGGTTTTGTTGCAGTATGCCCCATATAATTATTAATTTTGAAAGAAAAAGCAATATGATTTATAATTATTTTAACAATATTAATGGACAGGTAATTTAATTGTTGTTAAATTAAAAGTTATCTTTATTTTATTCAAATTTAGATTCTTTAAATAATAAAATTACAATTCTTAAAATACAAATATAGATCATGAAAGAAATAAATAAAATTATAATCTCTATATTGTATGTGAGCTTATAGACTTCCCGGAAAGTATTAATCTTAAAGATAACATTCATAAAATACAAATAAATAATCTCTATATTGTATGGGAGCTTATAGACTTCCTGGAAAATATTAATCATAAAGATAACATTCATAAATCAATATAATAATAATAATAATACAGTCATACCTCTTTTATATCCCCCCTTTTGTTTTGGAAATTTTATGGGATATAACTAAAGTGGGATATAACTCAAGCAGTCAACCATTTCACATGACACTTAATTTAATAATAAAATTTTTTTATTCAATATCAATATTCATAAATTCTGTCAACAAGGATTGACGTTTTGCTTTATCTACAGAACTATTTAAACGTTTTATCAATTCATTAACATATCTAACATCTTTTTCTGTAGCAAATTCTTGTTGTTCTAAGAATTTTTTTGTAATCTCAAGTACTTTTTTTCCTTCTTCCATAGAAATAATTGGCTCTTCTTCACTCATTTCTTCTTCTTCTTCCATTTCAACATCTTCAGGTTGCCAAACACCTTCAGAAATAAGAATATCTTCAATAATATTTTCGTCAGTAGGTAATTCAGTTGTTGTAATGTCTGAATCAACATTAACGAATTCTTCAGCAGTCATTGCATGATCAATATTTACTTCTCTAAGACCAGAGATTAATCCAAGGATATCATTTGATGTAGGATCATCTGTAATTTCTACTGTTTTATTTGGTGGTAAGATTTTTGTTTTTTTCCAACAATTTTTTATTGTTTCCTCTTTGATTGCATCCCAAGCTTCTCCAACAATATCAATTGCTTGTTTAATATTTATTTTGTTAATTCTATTTTCTTCTTCCAAATCTTTAATCCATTTTGATACTAGTTTATTCCGATAGTTGACTTTAAAATTATGAATGATCCCAGCATCACAAGGCTGAATATGTGATGTAGTATTGGGTGGAAGGTATATTACATGTAAATTTTTAAGACCAAGATGTGAGCCATCAGTATGAGCAGGACAATTATCAATTAACAAAATCGATTTTTTCTTTAGTTGGGAATCAAACCATTTCAACCAATCATTCCATAACTCCATTGTCATCCATGCATTTGTACTATTGGAATATTTAACAGGTAATGTCTCAATATTAATATGATTGAAGCATCTTGGTTTTTGTGATTTACCAATAACAAGGGGTTTATTTTTATTTTTTCCACTTGCATTACAGCAAAAAAGAATCGTGATTCTTTCCTTATCTTTTTGCATCCCTTTGCTTGGTCATCTTTTGTTGCAAGTGTTTGATCTGGTGCTAACCGAAAAAATAATCCTGTTTCATCTGCATTATATATGTCATCTAGTTCATATTCAGTCAACAATATATGACACCTTGCTCTTCCTTCTTCAACATTTTCAAGATTGGCAGATTGGCTTTCACCAGTAATGTTTTTACTACTGATTCCATATCTATTTTGAAAATTTTCTAACCATCCTCTTGATGCTTCAAATTCAGGAAATTGTGCACCTCTATTCTTCGCCTCATTGTAAAAATACAAGGCTTTTGTTTTCAGCAATTCTTGAGAAACAGGTATATTTTGGCTACATAATCCTTGGAACCACTTATACAATGCATCTTCTAACACTGGAAACCGACCTGGTTGAATCCTAGTTTTTTTCAATTCACTTGTTTTAGCACTGGAGTAAACATTCAAAAGGTCTTCTTTTTTTCTAATGATATTACTGATTGTGGAGCGATCAACATTGTATTCTCTCGCAAGTGTTTCATCACTGATACTAGTATTAGCTTTTTTTCTAATAATGGTTATTTTATCTTCTAGGGTAAGTGGAGTTCTTTGCTTTCTTTTTTTATTATCCATTATTTTCAATGGGTTTATTAATTGGTCGATTTAGTTTATTTGAGTAAAATGTTTGAAATTAGGAAGTTTTATAAATGGAATTTAAATTTATTCAATTATTAAGATAAAAGGATGTGTACATGTTATGCTTAAGTAAAACCCAAGTTCTTTTATACATGTAAAGAAGATACTTTGCCACAACTGCAAAAAAATAGTATAATTTTCTTTATTGTTAAACGCCATTAAAAAAAAAACAAAATAATTTCTTTGTTGTTGAGGAAATCAATCAAGTCACTACTACACAAAAACAGTAATTTTCTTTGTTGTTAAAAAAAAATAAACAAAATTTCTGATTAATTCTGATTAATTGTCAAAGTCGCCACTAAAAAAACAAAATTTTCTTTATTGTTAAAGAAATTAGCCAAGTCGCCACTAAAAAAACAAAATTTTCTTTATTGTTAAAGAAATCAGCCAAATCACCACTAAAAAAAAACAAAAATAATTTCTTTATTGTTAAAAAAAATAAACGAAGTTCTGCTTAAAAAAAAAGAATAATTCTGATTAATTTTTTTATTGTCAAAGAAGTTAGCCAAGTTGTCACTAAAAAAACAAAATAATTTCTTTATTGTTAACGAAGCAAAAATTTTGTTAGCTATTTAAAATAATTTGTCAAATTTAAAATGTTGGTTACACTTGTATATCATGTACAAATAAGGTTAAAATGGGGATATAACGTTTCAAAAAAATTGGGGATAGGGATATAACTCAGTTGGGATATAAGTGAGGTAAAGTTTATATCAAAATAATATAGGGAAATCCGTCATGGCCCATCAGTGGGATTTAATCAAGGATGGGATATAAACAAGGGGAGATATAAAAGAGGTATGACTGTAATCAATAATCATTGTACACCATCGCCAACACTCCTAAAAAATATCAATAATTTAAGGACAATAATATTCATAATTCTTCAAAGAAAAACGCAAATAATCCCGATTGCCAAATTAGTAATAGTGAATTTAAAAAGATGAATTTCTCTACATTACCAAATATGGTATTAGTATATATTAATTGCCAATTTCGACTAGAATTATTTTACCAATTGATCAAGATCAAGATTGTTACAACAATTATAAAGTTTGTATTTATTATATCAAAAATATTGCTTCAACCACAAGGAAATAGTTGACCTTTTTATATTATTAGAAAAATGACAAAACTACAAAATGGTGAAAAGGCAAGAGTCAATATAGGTTACAATTCTTTTCGATTCTATATTAATATAGCTAAATGACAAAAGGGTCTGATTTTTGATCTTTTATTTCATTAATATTAAACAATTGATCAATGGATTTTATTGGATTTTATGTGACAATTGGTTATTTCCAGTCCATTATTTCTTTATTTTATAGTTTTTTTTCTTTGTTCAATATCTCTATTATAATTTTTGCCAATTTCCTTCTTGATATATTAGTATTAGTAAATAAATATAATCCGGTATTAGTATTTACTATTTGAAAATCTTTGCTTTTTTAGCTTCTTATTCGTCACACCTTAATTATAACAATGTTATTTATCACGTATGTCACACGATAAGATCTTGTGTAATTTTCAAACCGCTTTTTCAAACCAAACCAAACCAAGCTGCCCCATCCCTACAGGTGTGTAAGCATTTTTGTTTGCTTTGAATTTTTTTGCTACAACACTTTGAAAGACTTTATTTGATATTGACTTTTTTTTACTAACAAGAGAACGGGTCTGGGAAATATAAGTTTTTCTTCTTTGTTCTTGCCTAGCAACCTTAATTGCAAATGATTTTTTATATGCATTAAGATTTTCAATTTTTTTTTTTAATTTTTTAATTTCCTTTATCTCAGATTCATTATTCTGATGTTTGTCTTTAGTTATTAGGACCCATTCCATGGCTTTTTTTTTGCAAATAAGGGGACAAAATCTCACCTTGATGTGTACCATCTGGATATCTCATGTTTTCAAACAATTGGGAGCAAGCAATTAATTCTTTTTCATCTAAATTATTTATTTTATTGATTAATTCAATTCTAATTTGCTTTGTCTTAGTATTAAGTTCTGCCATATTATTGTGGTCTATAACATTAACAGATGGGTGATCTAAAATATTTTGTGGGTAAACACTTGATGCATTTTGGAAAATTGAATCAAAGACATCTTGGGATGGAGAAATATCTCTGGATAAGGAATCATTGGTTACTATAAATGAATTGTCAAGATCTATGGGTAAACTATTTTCTTTTTCAATTGGAGCATAAATTTTCTCTTTTTTGATTAGACGAGCCTGTTGAATTACTCTTATTTTTCTGTGAAATTTTGGAATTTTATTTGAACAAATTTTCCTAAAACTTGAAAGTTTATACAAAATAAAATTTGTAATATTAATTTAATAACATTTTAACATTTCCTTAAAAAAGGAGGATTGTCAAAGCAAATCTTAATAGTAAAATTGATAACTTTGAACCTTTACAAAAAATTTTTTTATTAATAAAAATGAAAAAAACTCTCTAATCGGTCATTAATTGAGTGTTTTGAAATAAAATCATGGAAAGATTATTCCTACAGCTAGTTTGGTTATTGAGCCTTTAGATTTTGAGATTTATCTAAATTTCCATTGTTAATAGTAAATCAACAAAATCAATAACTTTGAACCTTCACAATAAATTTTTTTATTAAAAAAAATGAAAAAAACTCTCTGATAGGTTATTAACTATGTGTTTGGAAATACTACCGTGGAAAGATTATTCCCACAGCTAGTTTGGTTATTGAGCCTTTAGATTTTGAAATTTATCTAAATTTCCATTGTTAATAGTAAAATGACAACTTTGAACCTTTTACAAAAAATTTTTTATTAATAAAAATTAAAAAAACTCTCTGATCGGTTATTAATTGAGTGTCTGGAAATACAATCATGGAATGGTTATTCACACAGCTTGTTTGGTTATTGAGCCTTTAGATTTTAAAGTTTATCTAAATTTCATTTTATAGTGAAATCAACAAAATTGATAACTTTGAACCTTTACAAAAAAATTCTTTACTAATATAAATGAAAAAAACTCTCTGATAGGCTATTAATTGAGTGTTTGGAAATACAATTGAGCAAAGATTATTCCCACAACTTGCTTGGTTATTGAGCCTTTACGTTTTAAAGTTTATCTAAATCTTCAACAATTTTACTATCCCTTAAACTGTCCACATTTTCGAATAAGGGAATTTCGAAAAATTATTGGTAAATTACAAAATTCCACCAATCAAAATTAACCAAATCGCACAATAAAAAATTTTATTATGAATATACAGTGCGGATCATCTATACTCAAAAGTTAAAATTTTTGAAATATTATGTGATTCACACATTGGATTTTAAAAAACTTACCACCATTCAATTCAGCTTTAAAAGTGGAGTCTATTAATCTAAAAAAAAAATTTTGTCTCACACATCCTATTTTTCCTTTCCTAACTTGCTAAAAGATGAAAGATCTTTTGGCTCTATTCTCTTTTGAAGAAACATCAATAGGAAGTTGCTCCCTGATTTCTCTTCAACATTGCTATTAGCATCATTCACATTATAGGATTTTTATAGTAGGTCTAAGGATGTTAGCCAAAATGGATTTTGAAAAAAACAATTTCGGCAAGCAATTTCAGATTTACAATATTCTTTATATCTATAGGCATAAAATACTACTGCGAGCGTGCAATCCGAGTTTCCTACTTAATAGGTTATTTATAGCTCAACACACAGCCTCCTCGCTGACTTACGGTTGATTCTATTGTTTGACACACAGCCTACCCGCTGACTTACAGTCAAATTCCTTTATTTATATATATGACACACAGCCTACTCGTTGACTTACAGTCAAAAATTAATAAAAATATAACTCTTATCTTTTCAGATAAGAGGGTCCCTAGGTTCTATATATGTAATTATCTCCCAAAGGCGTCCCCTTGAGATGTCTCTTGATAGTTAAGATATGGGTTAACTGCTATGGGCAGCAAAGGTTTCCCTTTGGTGGTTTATTAAATTAATTAGAGATTATTATTTAGGGTAAAATATGTTATGTGTTTTATTAGCGACAATAATATTATTATTACAATGTGTTAGGAAGTATTAATTATTAGATCAATAATTAAAAGATTGTTATGAACATGATTCTGACTTGGTCTAAAACCAAGTCCTTATATACCTCTTGGGGTATTACAAATAACATGACTTTTACTCTAGTTTGTCCAATAAACTATGCTTATTAATATAAAATAAATATTTGGGTCAACTGATCATTACAAATAATAATTAATAATTTAAAGTAAATATTTACATCAGCTGAACAAATTCTTGAAATATAAATATAGAAATATGAATATGAGTAATTGTGCGTGTGATACTGCGCAATGTGTGGCACAGTATTTCACAAAATATAACGTTAAAAATAAAAATAGAAATGATTTAATTTTCACGTGACTTCCGCAGTAATTTGGTTTGGTTGGATCGGCAACGCGGGACCTCTCTATCGGTCCTCATTTTACTATCTCACAACCTTCCCCTCCTTAAGATTCAATCGTCTCTTGATGAATCGTTTTGCTTCCCCTTTCTCTTCAGGTCTCTTCTTATTCTGGCCTGGTTTCCTCCTCTCTTTGGTTTTGGTTTGTCTCCCAGAGTTCCAGCCTCCTTCTCCCTCTGGTATAGTTCCTCAATCCATTCTTTGACACATTCTCCACATGAGACATTTCTTACCACTTGATGAACTTGGGGCCTATCTAATGGTTTTTCACAACGTTCACATTCATAAGGAAGTGAAGTTTCTTTGAGCCGTTGCATATTCCTGTCAAGATAAACCAAAAATCTATCTTGGTAATCTTTGTTTCGACGATATAGATATTCATCTATACCTTCCGGATGATTGTTTTCTTTATCTTCCTCATCCCATTGCTCTACGTAACGTGGGTTTTCATTCTGACCCTTGATACAGGTGCAAAGGATTCTTTTCCCAATGGTTATTAATTCACTGTTAAGATAGGGGCACAGGCAACTGTGACAAAGGTTAATTTGGTCATTTTGATGTCTATGATGTTTTCTTAAATCCAGAAGCTTTGGTAATTTTTCCACAATTGCTTCTCTATGGTCATGGAAAGCTTGGTTCATTCGATCAATGTATTCTTGTTCGATAGAATATTCTTCTTGGTAATCTTGGAAGAAATCTGCTGTTCTTTCCATTAACTGGTCATATTCTTCCTGCAACCTTTCCTGAGCATTAACCCATGTTTCATTGGTATGATATTGTTGATGATATTCGATTTCTGCTGGTTGACCATGAAGTTTGATGTAATAGGCTTCTGCAGCCTTTAGAACATCTCCCTCATCTTCTGAGCAATTCTTTGTTTCAATATAATTCTTGACTTTTTGTGGCACATGTTGAAAATTATTTGCCATTACTACTGATAAGTATGCATATTTGCAGATGTAAGAGCAAACATCATTTTGCCAACTGATGTTGACTTTTGTAGTCATAGGTAAGTCACAAACTTTGCATGGTGAATTATACCATGATTCCTGAGTGATATCATAAGATTCATTTTTGGTGCAAGAGTTGCACAGTTGGTGATATCCCCATTTCCAACCATCATTTGTATCCATTTTGGTTGTAGGTCTTTTACACTTGCAACAGTGATAATTCATTCGCCTTGTTGCAGTTGTCCAATTGAAATGTTCCTTGGCCTTTTGTTGTAGTACTTTCTTGTCACATTTGCACGGCAATGACTGATTTTTATATTTCAAAAATGTTATTGGTTGGAATTCCTCAATCACTGAGTAATTTTGATCAATGTGAACACGATTGACAATTAAAGTTGTTTGTCTGGCAGCACTACTTGAACTTCCTTCTTCAGGATTTTCCAAGGCAGTGATAGTTTCTGTTCTTGTGATAATTTCATTTTCCTTTAGTCCTGTTTGCTGATCCGTTATTGGTGTTGTTGTACTGTCAAAAGATGGTTCAATTGCTTCTGGTACGCCTAGTGTTTGATTTATTTCTTCTATTAGAAATTCACACAGTATTTGTCTTCTAGGTCCTAGCTTTTCAGCCAATACCTTTTTTGACAAGAACTTAATTACAGGGTTCATCTTGATTTACAATATTGTTGTCTAAGTTGATTCCGTTGCAAACAATATTTTTCCAATAGGATGAATTGAGTTGGTTGTCTATGTAACAGATATGCCTTAGTCAAATTCCTAATCCTAATGTTTAATTGTTGAAGTTCAAATTTTTGTTTATTAGTTGTTCGTTTGAGTTTCTTTTCCTGTTTGTGTTCCTTGGGTGTTTCCCTTTTTCGCAATGTCATTCAATACCCTGACCTCTTGTGGACTGTAATATGTTAAGTTTATTGAATTATGAACTAAGTTCTTTAAAAGATGGTGATTCCTTTGAAATTGGTTCCAATAATACCAATTTTGTGTCCTCTGAAATTCGTTGAGCGATATTGTTAGTTGAGTTGTAAAGAATTCAAAATATTCCCACTTATTATTGTCTTTATCCTCTGTCCAATGATTAACTGGTCGGTTTGAAAGAATTTCTGCTTGTGGTTGATTATAATTATAATTATTGATTGTTTTGTTGCAGTGAGTCTTCTTCGGACTTTGCGTTTGATATATAAAGTTTTTTTCTTTATTAGGTAATATTTGTTTTGGGGTTTTAGGCATTTAATTATTTAATTGTTAACTGAAAAGTTATTTTGTCTCTTGGTCAGATTCTCTGTCTTTTTATAAGAATTCCCTCACTAATTGTTTTTCGTGTTTCCATCTTATCCTGTTGCTCTGTTTATTCCCCCTGACTCTTTGTTTTGGTTACAATTTCTTATCTTCTGATGAGTCAGCCTTTTGTCATCATGACTAATGTTTTACGAATATTGTCTTATCTCATTCTCTGAATGAAATTTTGTCTAGGTGGCTTTATTTGTTGTCATCTTCTGACATTATTTGTTTTCTGTCTTTGTGTTCTTTTCTTATCTGTGTTTCATCCTGAAACAATATCTATTTTTAATTTATCCATATGGTTGGTTCCCAGGCCGGTCTGTCATAATATTTCTTCAATCTATTCCCATTTATTGGTGTTCGCAATATTCTTGTTGTTTCAGTCTCACGTAACTTATAAACTCCATTTTTCCAAACCTGGTGAATAAGATAAGGTCCTGACCACTTTTCTCTAAACTTATCCCCATGTACATTTTCATGGTGACTTTCTCGTAATAATACTTGTTCTCCTATCTTGAATTGTACAGGTTTTATTTTCTTATCATATCTGTCCTTCTGATCTGTTTGTGCTTTATTTATATTTTGTTTGGCAGTCATATGCACGTGGTGTAACCGTTCAGTAATCAATTTTATGTGTTCCCCTAGGTCCCATTCAAAATCGTCTTCTTCAGGGTTACTCTTTCTTGTCAAGGGTGTTTCTTCATTTCTTCCATATAAAAGGAAGAATGGTGAGAACTTGGTTGATTTTTGAATTTTTGTTCGATATGCAAATAATGCAGATGGTACAAATTGATCCCATTCTAAATTTTCATTTTGTATTACATATTTTGCCAAGGTTTCACACAATGTTTTATTAAACCTCTCTGTCAATCCATTTGTCTGTGGATGATATGCTGTAGTGAGAACATGAGCTGTTTTCATTGTATCACACAATGCTTTCACGACACTATTCACAAAGGATGTTCCTCTATCAGACAATAATACTTTTGGTGCTCCATGTCTACAAATTATGTCTTCATATATAAATTGAGCAAC